AGTATATATATATATGCTACTGAAATTAGTTCATAAGATTACATTTTTCAAAGATTTACATTTTGTCACAGACATTGTTGAACAAGAGCATCAACAAAATCAAATACGATACCTGATTACCAAAATCCGTCAATCGTTGGTCTTCATGACTGGTTTCAATAATGAAGTAGATCACCCTACTGTGGCCACTATCATCTACCTCTTGTTAGTATGTGTTTCCTTCTTGATTGTATTAATTTATACGGCTCTCAATCAAGAGATTCACTTACTTACTATTAAGTCACCATCTGAATCGACATTCGAACTACTTAATGCACAATATGGAGCACAAAGTCTAGCATGTCCATGCACTGAAATTTCCATGCCATATGGCACTTTTTTAACCTTATCAACTGCTTACCATCAAGTGTGTTCGAGTGAATTCATTTTATCTAATTGGTGGACATTAGTATGGGATTCAGGCGATTTATTGAATTCCAAAGATCAACCTTTGCTTAGTACTTACTTTCGCATATTATCTTCTATGTGTACATTAGCCCAGGAAACAGTGAAAAATGCAACCGATGTATTCCTCTCTGGTACATTTATAAGTGTCGAAACATTAGGACGCAGTTCGTTTGAAGATCGAATCGAGTCTTCTGTGAATGTACTAATGCAACAAACAGCGACGACATTTCGTTCCAATCTTCAGTTTATCCGTGACTCAATTCGTGCCAATCAATTAGACGATTTATTTATGTCAAGTTGGAAGGCTGAGTTCCCGACGAGTTTGGATTCCAATGTTCAAGCTAGAATTCCCATCTTTTTCAATAATGAAACTTGCATGTGTGCAACTTCCATATTTTCATCATGCTGGAGACCACTAGCTTTTGTGACAAACAAAAGCAATATTTCATCCACAATGTCAATACCTGGTATGATCGGTAGTTGTTTGCCGATAGATGGACTGCGCATGTCAACACTTGAATGTCTTTACGATTCAATATGTTTGGCAACTCTTGGTGCATTAGTAAACAATACGATGATACCTCATCAGTTAAATATATCGGTACCTACTCGTTTTCCACATACAATAACTACATTGAGTTCGATGATTGATGAGTTATTTATAGAGGAATGGCTCTATAAATTCAACTACTCGTCCTACTATCAAAGGTGTTCACTAGATGAATGCAACTATAAACGTGTCGAACGTAATAGTTTTATCTATATGATCACATTTTTGTTGGGTTTGTACGGTGGGCTCACAATCACTATTCGAATGATTGTTACTAGTAGCTTTCGAGTATTGCACAATGTGCAACTCTCATGGCTCGTAGATCGGAAACGAACAAAGCGAGTTGTACCGTCGGCATAAGTTAATATCAGCCACTGACTCATGATAAAGATTATAGATGTTGTTTGTATTTCATCCTATTTACCCGTCATTGATATTGTATGCATACAACTAATATCCATTTCAAATAAAAAGAAGGATCAGTATTTTTGGAATAGGCAGTGATAGGAACTAGATAGAGGTCTGTGATTTTTACTGTTTAAAAGACGAAATGAAAACGCATCGAATCGTGAATATAAAGATTTTCTGACAAGTTTTCCTACGGCTATCCACGAAGTGTTTTAAACAAGGATAGTTTTTTAATAGCAGTAGAATGTGAATTTTTCTTTAAAAAGTCTGGAAAAAAGTCAAATTTTTGTGAAAAATCTACTGAGAGTGCATAGTAAAATGTTAATAATCCGGGGTTGGCTAACTATTTTAACATCGAATTTCTATAGATTACTAAGCTTTATTTAAGGATTCTAATGAACTACTGAAAATTAAAATTCCAACAGTTTTACATTCCAAAATGTTTTCTGTTTCAGAAACTCAGCAGGTCACTCCGAAAAAGTTTGTCAGAGAAATCTCGTATTCACGATTTGATGCGGTCTCATTTCGTCTTTCAAACAGTGAAAACCGCAGATCCCTATCTTTAATAGCTCCTATCAAAAACCATTTCAAAAATACTCACTTTTCATTTAATTTGAAATGGATATTAGTAATCGCTTTCGATGTTATGAGTTGGCAAGTACGAAAATAAATTTATTTCTTCAACAATAAACGATAAATTCTATATCCAAATAAACATATGCTCGTCCTTTAGGTCATCTTTTCTGACAGATGTCTAAAATATTGCTAAAAAAGGGACGTTTTGTTCTTTATCTTACTATCTAAAACGATAAATAACCATTGCAAACATGAGATTTTCACAAGTTGTGAGAACATAAGTATTTGTCATATTTTTCACTGATGATTCAATCATGACAAGGAGTTTACCTAAAGTTTTTCCATCATATGACAAAATCTAAGGATATGGGTTACAGACGTGCAAGTAACTCAAAACTTCGATTTCAACTATGACTCTGAGTGGGTTGGAATCGAAAATGATCAAAATTCTAGCAACTCCGAAAATCTTTTGTTAATTTTCTTTTCTAATACAAGATGTCTTGCTTGACATTATCCGAAGCTCCATTTCTCTTCTGTAAGTTTTTAACAGCCTTTATTGAGCAGTATCATCTTATTTTGAATCAGAATCAGATTCTCTTCTCATAGGAAAATCCTCCAAGTCAATGCACGTTTTTGTATTGGACACCTACCATATCTATTTATTCGCTCACAATACTTATACAATTTATTCAGATACTGTGTCACCGAGTTTGGAGTAAATGGATCAGCCAATCGATACTCCAACTCTCCTGCTAAGACGAAAAAGATAATACAGAAGTGTAGCTTATAACTTTGACAGGAGTCTAAAAAATGGCTTGACAACTAGTAACATAATACATACTTGAATCATTTGATATCACATATACTTCATCAGAGTACACTGGTCATGAATTACGTAATCTATCGAAACATGTAAGATGCTCGTAATTTCGAAGGAAATTTTTTGGAGTTTTTCGAATTGGAGTCGAAGACGGAATCAGAGTAAAAAAAAGTATGACTTCGCAGGTCTTTAGTGTGAATGTGCGTGCAAGAACAGAAGAAGACCCACATGCACATTCAATTTGATGACACTTGTCAAATTTTTGATTCGGCAATATCAACTAGCTATGAGTACGTAGATTGATTACATGTCAATATATTGATTTAGGGTGCGGGTGTGGGTGTGGATGTGGGTGTGGGTGTTGGGTTGGGGTGTGAGTGTGGGGTGTGGGTGTGGGTGTGGGTGTGGGTGTGGATGTGGGTGTGGGTGTGGGTGTGGGTGTGGTCGTCCATCTTCTGTCAATTAATACTCATACCCACATCCAATTCACACCCACACCCCACACCCACACCTCACACCCACACCCACACCCTCGATAGTCTGAAAACATCGATGTTTACTTTATTATTTAATACATCCATAAGATATTGATATTTTCGAGGAGTTAGATTTCGTAAGTTCATCCAGTTTTACTTTTTCTCGATGATTATTATGACTATGTATTTTTATTGTTATATACGTATTGAATAACTGAATGAGAATGAAAGCAGCTAAAACGGTTTGTGCATCGCAATCAGTGTTGCATATATAATATGACTCAAATCAAATCGTCTTTTATCGTTTTTGTATAAAAGCTGAAAAATTGGGGAGAAAAACATGTACAGGATGTATTACATTTAAACGAAAGAGTTATCAACACTGGCAAAAGAGTGAAAATGCGTCTAGTTGAAGATCTTTATCAATTATGTTCTAAAATCTTTACTCACAGTCATACAAAATCTAGTGATTCATTTTTTCAGTATTTACTCCACGAAGAATATTTAGTTTCGTACAAATACTTCTTTAACTTCATTGCGAAATGATTTTGATATGATAAGATTTACATAACAACTAGTACAACAAGAAATATTAAGAATAACTTGGCAAACATTTCTTACATTATTCTCAATTTGTGTACGTTCAAAAGTTTTGGCATCATTTCTTTTAATTTGTTGATAGATTAGAAAGATGGCAAAGTTAAAACTAAATAAAGCATACATCGTGATATCTCCAATTACTATCAAAACTAATTGTTGATCTTTCGAAATGGAATGAACATTCTTGTCCACAATAGTTCCTCTACTTCGAATATTATGAATTGACTATAATCTATAGATGATCATCAATGAAAGTATCCTAGTTTCTTTCATGATCGTATTATAATCGACAAAAGTATTTTGCACACCTTGTTGAAAATTACAAATAAAAACATGAGAGATAATTTCCATAATATTGGTAAAAATCAATGCATAATTGTGAAATATCGCCCAGAATATTGTTCCTATTACAATAGAGACAAGAGCAAGACGACAAATACTTCAACGTCTTGTCCAAGCATGATGTGAAGCGATTAATATTCGATCAATAGAAGTCAGAATTAAATAAAATTGACTTAAATAATCAAACAAAAGTGCAGTAAAAGGACACAAACAACAGAAGACTAAACTGGATGTACTTAGATCAATTTAATATCCTAAACCTAATATAAAGAACAATAGTGCACAATAGATATACAGTAGATTAGCACTGTTATATGCAATATAGATTGAAGAATTATATCTTCCTTATAATGTATAGAAATTTCGAATTTTGTAATTCATTTCTGATAGAAATTTCATTTCAGCCGTCTTCTTATGACTAAGAATTTTTTATGCAATTATCGATCAGAATAATCCTATAATCGATATATTTATACTCTTTTCACCACAATTTTTGTTATAGAAAAAATATTAACTTTGAATTAGTCATTCATTTATAATTGATTTCTTCCATTTCATTAGCTGTCATCTTATTCAAAGTTGAATAGCATCAATTTTAACTGCCACGCTCCATTAGATACCATTTTTTTCTTATCAACGAAATTTTAATAACTAAAAATAAACATTGGGTATGGGTGTGAACCTATGTTCATCTAATCTTAATCCACACTGACACCCATACCCCACACCCATATCCACACCCACACACACTCTCTCTAGGAAAATAAGAGAAGTCTGTTCTTTAGCAACGCATGAACTTTTGTACTCTATTGTTATATGTATCTGCTACATATAGATTGAGTTGAGCGTCGAGTACCATTGAATAAGGATTATTGAGTAATGTAGGAGTGTTACCAGATATACTTGTCTGGCCAGGTATTTTTGTACCAGTTGATTGACCAGCCAAGAAAAATTGTATGCGATGATTGTTCCTATCGGCTACGTAAACATTGCCCATGAAATCTAATATCACACCTACTGGATAGTTGAGCAATGTCGTTGTATTACCACTCAATCCGAAGATACTACCAGCCACAAGTGTCCAACTGCTGGCGCCTATCACCCAACGAACAATATTGTTAGCACCAGTATTGGCAATAATAAGACTGTTTGACGACGAATCAAAGTAAACACCAACTGGATAATTGAGCTGTGTATTATTTATTCCTTGTCCATTGTCACCAGCTGCTACAGTTCCTGATGATGCTCCTGCTAAATAGCTCATCACCCGATGGTTACTTTCATCTGCTATATACAAAGTACCCAAACTTGGATCTCGTGCAATTCCAAATGGATTGGTTAGTTGATTGTTTCCCGTGCCCATAATCCCTGTTAAAACATTCATATGTGCACACAAAAGATAGAAGACGGCTTCCATGAAAATCTATATTCTATTACTACAACTGTGGACAAAATTTCTGGAACAAATTTTTCTCTTTTATAACATTTTGTTAAGAAGCTATTATAAGCAAATGGTGATATGCTTTGATAGATCTAATAGCGACCTCTCACATACTAGTATAGCATTATTATCGAACGCTTCTGTAGCAAGTTATATGTGTTTCAATATTAGCCTATGGGACAAAAGTTGTGGAATAAAGCAGGAATGTTTCATTGAATATTTAATACAATATACAAAAAATGATCAGATGAAGCTGAAAACTTCAAAATTTGTAGTTCTTAGAGAGACAATATTGTTGATAGGAGATAGTTTTCAAAAATCTATTGGCATCGTAATTTGTTGAGACTAATAAAAATGACATCTCTAGACATCTAAATTTCCAATTGATCTGGATTCCATTCAGTACATGTATTCTTCATGAAACTTTCAGAATACATTGGGAGTAGTGCCATTAACATATATCCAAAATTTCAGCTCATCTTTTTGTATCAATTCTGAGATATTCGAACTTTAAGGTTGAAAAATAGCACTTTTTCCGTGTAGGATCTACTCCACGTCATACGTGCAAATTAACTTGGAACCATTTTAAATTACAGAAGACACATAGCTTGATATTGCTACAATATCCGTTTTTTAAACCTCTCATTAGTTGTTTAGCAAGTGAAAATTAATTTCCACATGGATCAGAAATTGATTTAAAATGTCTAAAAATGGATACCAAATTTCAATGGTAGAATTATTTCTACGAAGAAAGAAGAAAATAAGAAATTGTCGACCGTAGCAAGCTCAAGATAGATGTACTCTATCAAACAAAACAAGAATAAAAACTTAATATCGTATCGCTGAACAAAAGATCAGAGTAAGTCTCCTATAGTCGCCGACTAATCCATTTTTAGACATTTTAAATCAATTTCTGATCCATGTGGAAATTAATTTTCACTTGCTAAACAACTAATGAGAGGTTTAAAAAATGGATATTGTAGCAATATCAAGCCATGTGTCTTCTGTAATTTAAAATGGTTCCAAGTTAATTTGCACATATGATGTGGAGTAGATCCTACATGGAAAAAGTGCTATTTTTCAACCTTAAAGTTCGAACATCTCAGGATTGATACAAAGAGATGAGCTGAAATTTTGGATATATGCTAATGGCACTGCTTCCAATGTATTCTGAAAGTTTCATGAAGAATACATGTACTGAATGGAATCCAGATCAATGGGAAATTTAGATGTCTAGAAATGTCATTTTTATTAGTCTCAACAAATTACGATGCCAATAGATGTTTGAAGACTATCTCCTATCAACAATATTGTCTCTCTAAGAACTACAAATTCTGAAATTTTCAGCTTCATCTGATCATTTTTTGTATATTGTATTAAATATTCAATGAAACATTCCTGCTTTAATCCAGAACTTTTGTCCACAGCTGCACTATGCAAGACAAACATTCTGGCATCTGTTTTCCATGAAATGTTTGCAGAATAATTGTGACTTGATGCTTAGATTGAAAAGTGATTGAACGATGGAATCATAAGAAACAGTCTCGCGTTTTTTTGTGAAAGAAAAGATCTTTTAACAAAA